CATAGAAATTAGTTTATTTCTGGCTTATTATTGATTCTTATCATGCTGATCTGTTTCATAATCTGCTTTTTTCTACTGCCCCATCTTCTGCTGTGTCGTTTGATAGGCTATAAACAGATCTTTGGAAAAATTTCTGTTCTCTCCTTGAACTCCTTCTTCCACAACAGGATCTCAATCCTTTAGAGTAGTTTGCAGGCACCACAATAAGATAAATAGAAAATAATGGTAATCATATTGCAAGCCATCACAATTTCAAGACAGCCAGCACTTTATCATGCAATGCCAGGAGCATAAATTTTTCCTTGATTCTTTGCAAGATCCTACGGTGCGTACAGCTGAGAAGGGAAAAAATATCTCAATTCTGATTAAGACCTGAAGTGTGTTCACACAACAAATTCAGAATATCTGGTAAAATGTTGAAGGAGTCTCACAGCCTCACTTACTGAGAACAGCTGCAGTTACACGGTATGGTTACAGCCTCAGTCTGGTACAGTAATGCCACACTGCAGTTATGAGATACTTGATGCCCCTTGCTGTTTGAAAGAACAAGCCCATATAATCTCAACACTGCCCTATAACCAGTACATTTCTTTGCAGTACTTGTATTTCTAAGCAGCAAATTCTTTCCATGTCCCAAATGCTATGTTTATTTAAATCATCACAAGTGTACACACTAAAAAGTGGCTGATGAGAGCCTTCATAGATTCTGTACACTTCAAAGTAGTATGACTTAGATTGACATGAAGTGGTCTATAAAGTTCCTATTCTATATATAATAATAATATTAATAATAATAATGTAAAACTTTACAGCTAAGGTCCTGAAAAGATAGTGTGCGTCTACTTATGCAATTAATTTCCAAACCAGCAAGCTCAGGAAAATAATCACTGTAGCTTGTTTCCTGTTGAAGATATCTCTGGGTTTATAGAATAAAAGTTAGCCACACAGTTCATTGTCTAGTTTCCCCCATCAACTTTTTTTTCTATTCTGTCAATGGGGAGAAAGAAGTTACATAAGGACAGTAAAAGACTGCTGTGTTGCTCTTTGTGTCAGCTATGCAATGGAAAGGACAAAGTACCAAAAAATTGAACAAGGGTCTGACAATTAATTGAATTGTACTTAACCAGCCCAACAGTGCTATAGTGGCAGTTACCCCAGGCTAATCGATATCCCTAAGAATTCATGAGATATCCCTAGAATAGTTTCAAGAAAATACTATTCCCAAGATTTCATTTTCAAATAGGGACAAAAAAATAAGTGTGCGGAAAAAAGGGGTAAATAGGTAAAAGAGGGGAAAACTGCTGTATTTTCTTCAATGTCACCCTAATCTCCATTGGTGTAAACAATGAGAAACTTGTGGGTATGACATCACTGCTACATGCAACATAAATAAAAAAAAGAACCAAAATACTGAACAAAAATACTCTCTGCTAGAGAAAGACAGGTTGGACCGCACTCTGGGCTACAGGGAACCCATTTTTACTCACAATAGATCACTATCAGTGTGCAGTTAAAATATAGTAGGGGCCGTGTTCCAAGGCAGCAAGAGGAAAAATAAATCAAAAGTTTGTCAATTGTCATAGATTACAAGAAATTCCTTCAAACACATCAATGTACACATGATATGTCCCCTCTGGGGTTCAACCCCCACCGTTCACAGCAAGCACTGTCACTGGAAAAAATATATAGAGAATTAGACCATAGCTGTTGCACAAAATGAAAGAAACAGGAGGAACAGGTCATCCAGTTTAGAGCTTTCATCCCAACGTGGCTGTATTTTATATAAATATATACATATATTTGGCCTCTTGCTGCAAAAACTACAGTTAAATGAAAGAGATTGAAAACATTAAAAAAAATTAACAATCTGTGAATAAAATTTCCACACAGGTATTTCTTTGGACAATGTGACATCAGCAATCGTATGTTATTCAGGGAATGGATGGGTAAGGAGAAAAGGATGGCAAGAAAACTGCAAAAGGAAAGCGAGATTACATTAATTATCCCTAGCCTTGTAGAAATGTACTGATCTGCCCTGAATTATTAACATTAGGCCTAACAAGTTTGGACAAATGGCTATGTAGGTCAGACTCACGTTTAGACCCCAACAATACCACAAGCTAATGTTCAGAAAGTATCTAAATTGAAGTGCAACCTCAGATGCATTATTAAAGAATGTGGGTTTTAAGCGTCATGGGAAGCTGCATTAATTAATGCCATCATAATTAAGTTTTCCATGTAAGGATATTCTTTCACATTTAATTCACCTGAATGTGTCAATATTTTTACATACAACCTTTCATTTAATCTTACACATTTTCCGCATTCAGCTGCCTCTAATTACTATGTTACTCACTAATTAAAATACATATTTAACATATAGGACTACACAGATGCATTTGTGACTGTATGAAGTGTCTTTGAAAACCAAATTGACGTATTAGCTGTTGACAGATCAGTTAACAGTTTTCTAACTCAGTAGGGAAAGAGTTTTCTCAATTTATCCTTTGCTTTGGTTAGACTGCATTTTTAAGAACAATGATTTGTGCAGCTTAAAGATGGATAACACAGTTAAGGTTTTTCAAAAGTGATTAGTGATTTGAAAGCTAAAATATTTTATGTGAATAACAGGCTCCACTAAAAACTTACCTTAAAAAAAAACCCAAAAGAAACCCCAAAAAACCAGGTCCCATAAAAGGGATCTCAAGATCTTCAATAAAATTTGAGAACCAAAAATCACTAATTACTGTTGAAATTTTTCATTTAAATTTTCTACTTACAGTACTTTAAAAGTGAAGCAACTGTATCATTTCTAATACTTGTGATCATGGCCCTAAGAGAAAGTCATTCTCAGCTGTACTAAGGGCTGCCTGCTATCACAGTACCTGTACCACTATCTGTGTCTAGGAAATGGGAGGAGAGAGGGCAGATTGAGGGAGAGGGAAGACAATGAAAGGGAAATTTAAGATTTTACTCTCACTGACCACGTTTTTTCTCTCCTTTTTCATCTGACTCAGAGGATTCCCTCCTTAGCATTCAGTGCTTACTGTGCCAGCTCTGACAGCTGCCTCCTTCTTCTGCCTCACTAGCTCCATCATTTTGTTTATTCATCTGTCCAACACCCTTTCATTTATTGGACTGATGTGTGACCATGCCATTTGTAACATTTCCTATTGCTACTCACAGTTGTTGTTACTCTTGCCTCTCCATGGCCTTACTGCTGGTAATATATCCATTGTGTTGGCTGAGTTTCAGGATACCCTGTCTCCTTCCAGGTTTCCTAGTATTGAGGAGGTTACCTTGATTCTCATTAATATACAAAAAAGGGCTCTTGCCCTTTATAGTGTTATTTCATGATTCCTATCTTCTAAGAAATAACAATGAAAATTGTAGATTTCACATTAAACTGACAGATCTTTGGGATTTTTTTTTTTAGCAGAACATATTTAAAAAGCATACATTATGTGAAGGAGGAGTAGAGAAGAAAATACAAATAAAATAGGTCTTTTTTTTTCCTGACAGAACCAGATAAAATTAAACAGGTAACATATTTCTCTTTAACTGTTGAGTAATTTGGAAAAAATATTTTGTTTGAGAGCTACAGGCACCCTGAGGCATCTGTAACTGGCTTTACCAGAACTTACTCAGCAGACTCATTGGCTTTGGCAGCAGTTCAAAGGTCACATTCTCACATGGATAAACTGTTCTTGAACAATTTTTTTCCAATATGTTAGGCAATGCATACATTCCTTCCACATCAGGCATGCTTTCCATGTGCTTTGCTCTCCTTGTGGCTACTGGGAAGATAAATACCATTTTCTGTCAGTGTTTCAGCTGCTTTCTCTCAATTGTACTATTGTTCCACACTCCTGGTTTTTTTGGGGAGAGGAGTTTTTTTAAAAAAACTCCAGTGACATATTTTTTCTTTTTAAAATCATCTTCAAGAATTCATCCATTTCAGGCACTCCGTAAAGGCAGAGAATGTCCAGTTTAGGCTTCTTCTGTCCTCCAAAACAGCACAGTGATAACACTGACTCAAACTATAAATAAGAGGGTTTTTTCCCTTTTAAAAATAGTGGCAAAACAGACATGATCAAACTCTTCTGAGATCTTTTAATTTACCTAATCAGTACTTTTGAACTGAGTGATCTTTTTCATGGCAGAATACCATAGAATGCACATAAATATTCATATATCCATTCAGGAATGAATCCCTAAATCATTTTTCTATCAGTATTACAAATATGCATGGGTCAAACACATCTTTGGCCAAAATCTGGTTGTGATAGTCCCTGGAAAATAATTTCTAAGTATAGATAAGTAAAATGCTAATTGCTACATATTTATAAAAATTCAGATGCAAAGTCTGGTCTCAATTCCAAAACTCAATTATTTCTTTATGAAAAACTGTCCAAACAATTTAAGAACTTACCTAAACTTAATATTAGCATTACAGCTAAAAGGATATATATAAGAGGCACTAATATTTAATTTCTTCCAGACAATCCTTTCCTCCACTAAAACTGTTCATTTATTTAAAAAATGATTTATTTTAATAGCTATATGATAGAATAGAATTCCGTAGTTGCTTCTTTTACAGAATCATGTTCAGCAAGACAGACAGAAGTTCTTTACTGTAAAGAATACTATTGAAATTACTGGATTTCTGCATGTTACGAATGATAGCAAAACTTCACCATTGGCTAATTCTCAACTCAGAAACCTCCACAATCAGATCCAGCTTGACTTAATTCTTCAGGTTTTGCTAGCTTTGACCCTTAACTGACTTTTTAATGAAGACACAGGCGTGTGAGTGGTGTGAAATGTAATAAAGACATAGAGACTTCCGAAATGTAAATGGCACTTACTATGTTGCTGTGCATTTATTTCTTAGTTTTTCTGTACCACTGAGCAAAACATGTAAACACATGTATAGGTATTCTTCAGGGCTGAACAGTTCATGACAAGGAGAGGAAGGGAGTGATAGAAATATTACTTACGCCGTTTGCAGCCACATTTTTTTATCCGTTTGGGATCTGTGATGTCATCATGACAGGCCTTGCAGTAAAAATATGCCCTGGAGAGAGAGAATGGGAAAACCAACACATTTCTTAATCCATATAAATGAAATTAGTCCCACATTTGCAGTGAAAAATTAATAAAATATGCCAACACTAATTTCCTTTAATCTTTGAAAAGTTTTAGACATTGCAAGTAGGAAATATTTCCTGCAAGACCATTAATTTTAAACATGACTCCAAATTAGTGTTTCTGTTAATATACTTTTATTTGAAAAGTAATTGGAAGAAGGGATATTAATTATGACACAGTGTATCAGTTCATTTCTCTTTCATCTAAGAAAAAAGAGCATCCAGTGACCTTTGTCACAAAAAAAAAAATATATATAATGAATTTTCTGTTCTTATGAGCTATACCAGGGTGGGTTTTTTTAAAGACTATCTAGCACCCTAGGCCAGTTCTTCAGGCTGGTCACAAGTAGGACTTCATTTTAGCTACACTGAAACTGCAATGAGATCACTGTGACATTAAATATCAGACATGTAATTTGCATAAAAAATAAAAAACAAACAAACGAACACAAAACCAAATCAGAAAGGGAAAATCCACTCAAAATAAGTTCCTAAAGGAACAACTAAATATCATCTAAATCTTGATTCAGACTATTATGAGATGAATCCCATGACTGGAGTGTGACTATCAGTGGCTACAGGTTGTTCGGAAGAGACAGGAAAGGAAGGAGAGGTGGAGGAGGTGGAGGGGTTGCCTTCCACATCAAGACAGGGATTTAGTGTGAAGAGTTGTCTCTGAAAAACAGCCATGAGCAGGTAGAAAGTCTGTGGGTAAAAATCAGAGACCAAGGTAACAAAGGGAACTTCATGGTTAGGGTCTACAACACTCCACCTGATCAAGGAGAGCCAGTTGATGAAGCCTTCCTGCTCCAGCTACAGAAGGCTCTTGTCCTGCTGGGGGACTTCAACCACCCCAATATCTGCTGGAAAAGTAGCATGGCAAGCTGTAGGCAATCCAGGAGACTCCTGGAATGCATGGGGGATAACTTCTTAAGGCCAGACAGCCTCACCAGAGGAAACGTGATAGTAGATTTGATAGTCAAAGTAAGCGAGCTAATCAGGTATGTCAAGATTGGGGGAAGCCGGGGTTGCAGTGATCATGCATTGGTGGATTTTGCAGTCTTGAGGAATATGGGTAAGGTAAGGAGTAAAGTCAGGCTCTTGAACATTAGGAAGGCAGACTTTCAGCTCTTCAGAAGAGATTGTCAGTGGGATCCTCTGGGAGACTGCCCTCAGGGACAAGGGAGTGGAACAGAACCTGCAGATCTTTAAAGAAGTCTTCCATAAAGGGCAAGAGCTAGAAATTCCCAGGAGCAGGAAACTGGGCAAGGAAGGCAAGAGACTGGCATGGCTGAGTAGGTCAAACTAAAGGGCAAAAGCAAATGCATAGGCAGTGGAAACTAGGACAGGTAACCTGGGAAGAGTATAGAGAATATGATTGTGTGGGTTGATGTAGTTGCCAAGCCACTCTCTATGATATTTGAAAAGTCATGAACACAATCTTTAATAAGAGTAGAAAGAATGACCCTGGGAACTACCCACCTGTCAGTCTCACCTCTGTGCCTGGGAAGATCATGGAACAGACCTCCCAGAAGCTATTCTAGGGCATGTGGAGAACATGGAGGTGATTCAAGACAGCCAGCACAGCTTCACCGAGGGAAAATCCTGTCTGACGAACCTAGTGGCTTTCTATGACGGAGTAACTACATCAGTGGATAAAGGAAGGGCTACAGATCTCATTTATCTGGACTTCTCTAAAGCCTTTGACATGGATCCTCACAACATCCTTCTCTCCAAACTGGAGACTGATGGATTTGATGGATGAACTGTTAGGTGGATTAGGAATTGGTTGTATGGTCACATCCAGAGGATAGTGTTCAACAGCTCAGAGTCCCGCTTAGCATCAGTAACGAGTGGTGTCACTCATGGTCTGTACTGGGACCAGTGTTATCTTCATTAAGGACACAGACAAAAGGACTGAGTGCACCATCAGCAAATTTGTGGATGACACCAAGCTGAGTGGTGCAGTTGACACCCTGATGGGATGCCATCCAGAGGGTCCTGGACAGATTTGAGAAGTGAGCCTATGCGAATCTCATGAGGTTTAACAAGATCAAGTGCGAGGTACTGCATCTGGGTTGGAGCAACCCCTGGTATCAATCCAGACTGGAGGGTGAAAAGATCAAGAGATCTTTGAGATCTGCTGAGAAGGACTCGGGGGTGCTGCTGGATGAGACACTGGACATGAGCCGGCAATGCGCACTTGCAGCCCAGAAAGCCAATCATATGCTGGGCTGCATCAAAAGAAGCATGGGCAGCAGCTCAAGGGAGCTGATTCCATTCCTCTACTCTAGTGAGACCCCACCTGGAGCACTGCATCCAGCTCTGGGGCCCCATGCATAGGATGAACACTGACCTGTTCTAGTGAGTCCAGAGAAGGCCACCAAATTGATCAGTGCTGGAGCACCTCTCCTATGAGGAAAGGCTGAGAGAATTGGGTTTTTTCAACCTGGAGAAGGCTTTGGGGTGACCTAATTGCAGTCTTCCAGAACCTGCAGGGAACTTACAGGAAAGATGGGACAAGACTATTTACAAGGGCATGTAGTGACAGGACAAGGGGGAATGGGTTTAAATTGATAGACAGAAGGTTTAGATTAGATATTAGGAAAAAGTTCTTGACTGCAAGGGTGGTGAGGCACTGGAACAGGTTGTGCAGGGAAGTTGTGAATGCCTCATCCCTGGGGCCAGGTTCGATGGAGCTTTGAGCAACTGGGACTAGTTGAAGGTGTCCCTGCCCACAGTAGGGGGGGTGAAACTAGATGATCTTCAAGGTTGCCTTCCAACTCAAACCATTCTATGATTCTATGATTCTATTTTTTTTGTCCTTCATATCTAAATAAAGAAGAACCATTTTGGTTTTGAACAGACAAAAGCAAAAATTTAAAATAAGAATATGCAATTAACAAAATGAACCATCTAGGTTTCTATTTAACATTTTTGCTCATGGACTTCTACTCTTCTATCAAACGGCTCACCACTAGGTAAAGCACAAGGAGAACTAAGGAAGAGAGAAAGGATAAACTTTTTACTTTATATAAGATTTTTTTTAAAATTCCGATTTAATAAATATGTATCAGAGTGCCCACAGGAGAGTTTAATCATGCCTGTCAAGTCAACATATCATGTAAGGCTGCTATGACACATTTCATGAGGATCACACACACAGCTGGCCTCTAGCTAGACAGATACAGTTTAGCAGTATTCTTGCTGGCATAACAAATTAAACATACTTTCTTAACCTGCTTATTTCCCTGTACTTGTCCATGCTCAGCATAGGTCAGCTCCCTGCCAATCATCCCGACCCCCCTCATTGCATACTTCTCAATATAATTTTTGGCAATAAGAAGCAAAGCTGCCACTTTGCGACCACCCATAGATTTTGCTGACAGTACTAGATGGTTGGATTGCTACAACAGTAGGGAGGTCTCTGAAACAGAACAATCAACAGTCCAAAATATAAAATGAAAAATAAACAATATTAATACACAGTTTCTGATTAAACACATCCTTTGGCACTGCAGCTAGGATGATAACTACTATTCCTTATAAATTAAGTAGAGTGTGGCCACCACAGGTAGAACTATAATAAAGGAAATGGTCAGAGATATAAACTAGATTCCTAATTTAAATAGTTAAAAATTTATCTAAGTTATTTTATGCCTCTAAAAAATGACCCTGGTAGTTAAGTGGCCCATCAGGAGAAAGAAAGCAGGTCTAGCATACAAGATATGAACCAGGGAATACAAATATAAATTGCAGTGAAACCTCACTGAATGTTATTAACACTTCTAAAATCAATACAGCATGAAACTGCTGATGGAAGATACAAGTCCTAAATGTAGCACACTTAATTTCTCTAAGAAAATTCCAGGAAGATTACTCTTTCAGGTTGTGATATTGCCTTATTTCTAAAATGCAAAATGTAAAATGAAAAAGCCTTCTCTAAGCATTTGTATACTTTGCTGCAGAAAGTTTCTGGTCTTCAAGATATTCACATTCCACCAGAAAGTAAACAAACTACCTCCAAGGAAATAAGAATAAAATATGTTTCAAACCATGGGTTGATGTCAAGAAATAAGCCAGGAAGAGAAAAATTCCTCAAATTTTTACAATTTCTCCCCAATCCAGCTATAAGCCCCTTTATTGAACAAGAATTAACTACCACAAATATTACCTCACAAAACTTCATGACATGCACTGGACATAGGGGCCAGGGGAGGTATAGGTTAGACATTAGAAAGAAATTCTTTACAGAGAGAGTGATCAGACATTGGAATGGGATGCCCAGGGAGGTGGTGGAGTCACCGTCCCTGGAGGTATTTAAGAAGAGACTGAATGTGGCACTTAGTGCCATGGTCTAGTTGACAAGGTGGTGTTGGGTCATGGGTTGCACTCAGTGATCTCAGAGGTCTTTTCCAACCTGGTTGATTCTCTGTGATTCTGTGTGATTTCTAGAGATCATGTTTCTGAAGTTCACTTCAGGACAAATGTCCTAGAGTACCTTCAATCTTATGTCCAAAGCCAAGAGCAAATACTTGAAGTGATTGCTGTAATAAAATTATCATTCTATATAATTGGAGTGAATTAAGTGGATTTGAAGCATATGGATTTCTGATCATAGCACTAACATTTAAACAAATAAAGAATAATAAAGATGTAATTCATATAGTTTGTGTTTTATTTAAACACTCAACATTTTATGTGAAGCTATTTACCAAGGCATAATTGTTTCTAGGTATAATTGCTTCTAATGGGAAACTGTTGTTCTAAAAATGCAAAAGTGATTCTAGGAGGAAGAGTAATTGAACATCGTATATTATATTTCATTGTGGGATATAGAAATATGAATAGCTTTAGCTTAAGGGAGTTGGAATTTCTTCATTAACAAAAAATCAGAATAATTTAATTTGAATTTCAGGTACATAACATGTTTAATTTTGCTTTATTAAAAATTTATTTTTTCCCCTCAAAACCCTCTCAATTTTAGAACATTTTTCTGACTCTGATTCATAGCTCAAAAGGATGAAATGAACATTTTTCATAATTGGCTTTGTTAGTTGAAACACATCTGATAACCATTTGCTTTGCACAGAACAGCTAAGAAATGTGGTAAGGGAGGCAGGATGTTTCTAAACCAAGCCTTCTGCAAACAGCCAGGCAGAATTGGAAATCTTGTTTCATGCTTGGTATTAGATAAAACATGATAGATGAATGATGTGAAAAATTTCCCTAAATGCAGTCAACTTCTCCCTGTTAAAAATATTATGCCATTTTTCTTGCAGTCTGAAAAAACATCACTGGAGGGTGCCTCATAAATGAAAGAAAACCAGCACCTCAGTAAAGCAATATGAAGACAGTTCTGTGTATTCAACTGGAGAAAAGCACCAGAGAGGAGAAGAACTCCTGAAAGGCTGCTGAAAGGCAGCGTACCTGAGGCAGTGCAGGATGCACATACTCCAGAGATGGTGCTAAAAATATGAGAGGACAGGAGCACTGCTGTTCTGTTCTATATGCTTTACCTAGCCAAAAAATATCTTAGCTCTTTCAACAAAAACAGAACTTAAGTTCTCTGATTTCACTGTTTTGATGTTTTGACTTTCTTTAAAGATTCATGGTAAACATGCATTGCTTAAGTATTATTTCACTGTAATTTAAACCTAAAAATTGAATATTTCACCATTTTAAGTGTAGGATTTAGCTAAAATGGCAAACTCATGGAGAACATCAAGTAAAAATCTAATTCTTGATGGCATGACATAACAAATATACAAATTACGAGGAGGCACTCAGCTGCAAATATTAATCTTCTTTTTTTTTTTTTAACTCTTACAGACATTCAACAATTCTTCCTTTTAAAAATTATTTTCTCACAATTCTCCTTTGTTCTTTCCAAGCATATAATGATCCTAACAACAAGAATACACACATTTGGTCCTAAACACAATACCATAAAACTCTTTTTCATTCATCCCAAATCTAGTACAGCCAAGTACAATGAGCCTGTGAATACAGTAGGTTGGAATATAGTGCACTGTTGTAATTTGATTTATTATTATGAGGCCATAGAATCTGTAGCTCCATTAAAGAAAAATGACAAGAACATAAATATTATTTTGCTAATGCAAATACTGAAGGAATACAGTAACTTGCTTACATCAAGTATTTGTTAAAGTCTATGTAAATAAGAACTCCTCTAAACCTGAAACTCAGACAAAACTGTAATCCCTGTCTTCTCCCTGAGAATCAGATAATAGGGCAAATTAGGTGAGGCATTTACATGTAAAGAAACAAACTGACATTAAATATATATGTTTAAATTTAAAGATAAAAATACATGATTTACCTTTTTACTTCTTTGGCATCACTTGCAATGAAGAATCCTAAGGTACCTTCTTGAATCTTGACGTGGTTTCCAGGATTGATTAATATACTGCTCAGTGAAAAAAGAACAAAACCAACAAAACCATAAGTTTAAACTACTTTTAACGGAATGTTCTAAATTAACTTTATTTGATTCTGTTATAGGGGACCCACTAGTTAGGAAAGGCTGCAAGGAAATTTTAAGCCATATTCCTTGAAATTTCCAGTCAAATAACAGTTTCACATGCTTTTTACAAAAACTTTAATTTGAGACAATCACATGCCTCTGCCTATAATCACATCATGTAAGCGTTTACATCTGTTTTCTTATGTTTTTGCTTTAAATATAGACTACACAAAAGCCTCTCAGAAACATGAAGTGTGAAGCTGAGCATTGCTGTTTTCTTGCTCTGTCATGCAAAGTGGTGAAAAATTCACAATATGGTGAAAAGGGAAGAACCAGCAACCACCACTCAGTAAAAACACAAAATATCCTTTATGAAGCTAAACCCTTCAATGCAAATTTTTGCCAATTTCTAGTGAAAAAAAAAGTTAATGGGACCCCTATCTGGACATACAATGTTATTCTTTAAAATAATAAATACACACATACACTCAAGGGGAATGGTACAAGACAACCAGTCACGACAGCTGAAAAAACATAAAACGAATAGAAAATTTTTAAAACACTGCTATGCAGCCATGAAACAAAAATAACCCAACCACAATGACAGAATACCCTCAGCTAAATTCAATGAAGGAAATTATAAACTGCTATCAAGAAGTGAGGTACTCCACGTTTCTCTATGAAATATCTTCTTTATTTTTATAATAATTTAACTCTAGATTTTAGGTAAGGCACTTTGCAAAGTAACATGCTAAATATGAATATACATATATAAATAAATGTAAATATATTTTCCAATAAGTTTTATTAATGTTTAATACAACTAAGCTTTTGACTTTCTAAAACTTAATATAGCTTTTCACAAGTTCTCTCTTTTTTGTCTTTTATCAAAGCTTAGCCTTTCTAACTCGAAATGTAGTAATGGCATTGATGTGCAATTTAGAGTAAATAAAGACTACCAGCAAATTAATACCTTGCAGATTTAGCAAAAATTGATTTTAGGGAAGGATATATAAACAAAAATAAAAAAAGCACATTTGTAAGCAGACATACATTACTAAACTTTGAAGGCCCAAAATCTTTCTTGTAGGGAAAATTGGTCTCAGTACATCTCTTATTCACTATGTTATTTATTCTCTATACATTAGGAATAAATTAATATGACAAAAATATATCTGAAAGATTAATAATGAGCACATTGTTTTGTGTAATTCCACAAGCTGCAAGGCCCTATGACAAGAATATGTAGGCCGCAAAATAAAGCACTCATGAGTTCAGAAGTAAAAGGTTGGTCATGCAGTCATAATTCAGCCCCCATTATGTAGACATTATGATACAATTCCTAATTTAATATTCCTTCTCACAATCTGGAACTTCATTCAGAGGTGTTTTACTGCCATTATTTCAGGCATGGCGTCATGTAATTTATCTCTCTTTAAAATCAGCATCATATTTTTCTTACATGTTTTTCTGCAATGTTCATCATTACAGCATGGAAAAGATTCACAAATACATAATTTACTTTACAAGAAGAACGAAGATATAGTATTATCCCATTTTACAAAGGAGAGATTAAGTCACTATATAGCAGTTATTAACTTGGGATGCCTACAGACCATCTTTTTTTAAGTGTTTAGCATTACGTAGCCCCATATACACTTTCTAGGGACTTTTGCTGTAAGTTAGAACACTCCATATTTCCAAAAGCCCAGTCTCTGATGCCCAAAATAAGGAACACCTAATCTGTGAAAGGTTTGGTTTAAATTATTATCTCACTCTCACACAGCTATTCTTTGGCAGAGGCTCAAACAGAAATTAAATCTCAAGGAAAGCATCTACCCAGATATCCTCCCTTTTCCTTCATTCACAATTTCAAGCTTTGTAATAAAAAAGGAGAGGAGAACTACAGAAATTGGAAGATATCACCATGGAAAGAAGGTTCATCTCCACAGACTTTAGTAATATTTGCAAAAAATGAAATGTGATGGTGTAAATAACACGTACATTATGCACGCAGATAAGTGAGATGAAATAAAGTTACACAGCTAAACTAGTATCATCTATCATCAACTAATATCATCTAGTATTTATCATCCAGTGTCAGACCTAGTATTTCTTTTTTTAGTCAATTGGCCTTAATGGTTGCACTTGCAACAAAAACATTTACCTTATCCAGTTTTAAAATGCATTTTCACAGGTTTTATAATGGAATAAAACAGACAAACCCCCCAAACAAACAAAAGAACAAACCAAGAGAAAAACCAAAACACCCTAAAGCCAAACAAGAAAAAAACAAACAATAAACAAACAAAAAAACCCAATCAAACAAAAAACTAAAACAAAAACCAAGGAAATCGCCCGGTAAGTATTTCTTCATATGAAACCAGTCACTCAGGACACAAACAGGTTGGAAAATTTATATTTCCTGCACAAGCTTTTGTCTCGAGCCCACAGAGCACTTACTAGCACTTACAGAGATCCCTGTACCAGCCATGGCTAAGGGAGGTGAGACATATGCTCTGCCAGTACTCACAGATGAAAGCTGAAAATGCCTGTCTTAAACCTGCAAGTCTACGTCAGCCTAAATAAGGCTTCTCAAGAACCAGGAGAGAATCTTTCTGCCACTAAATCTCCAAAGTCTTTCTGCCAAAACTTTGTATCATGTCCATAACTGCATCTGTGCTTCAGTCTCCACGTTTCCCTTTCCCTGTCTGCTCGTCCTTAATCTGCCATTATGCTGAGAATTTAGCTGTTAAACTAAAAAATCTCCTAACCATGCTAATCTCATTTATTTACTACATTGTTTCTTCTAAAACATGTAAAGACTTGTAATATAGTTTGGGTTGGCTATTTTTCTTAGGTACAAATGGGTACTGCTCTGTCAGAAAAATAGCTTTTACCTCATTTGATTCTTTAATCACGTAACTATTACTGCTTTTCAGTGAAAAGAGATGAACATATTTCTTTACATAGACCAGGTTAGTTTTTTTCCTCAATAGAATTCTTGGAGATAAACCATACCAAAGAGTAAAAAATCCTACTCAAAACTCAACAATCCAAACTGCACAAACTGAGGTAACCATCAGATGTATAAATGTTCACTCCTCAAAACAATACTTAAAATTTGACGAAGTAATGAGCAAATGAAGCAGTTCTTTTAAGATGCATGGAATATAATCTTAAATCAGAAGTAACTGGCTTCATTTAGGCTGTAAGGTATTTTGAGCACAATTTTGTATCTCGAGGTTTTCTGAGACACATTAAATCAATTCAGATGGGTCAGTGTATAGACTTTATTTTTGTCAGATCTTATACTTCATTCACATATTCTTATTTTCACAAATACAAATAGCCACAAAATATAGATTTGATCACAGTTAATGCAGCATGACCCCAGCAGCAAAATCTTCCATAGGGAATAAAAATTAATTTGCCCCATAGCTAGCAAAGAGTTACAGCAAAACCTCATAAAGCTTTGGGTTTATATACACACTGATATATAACCAGAGCAAAATCATGAGCAATTTCTACTGAGTCTACATGGATTTATTAAACACACTGCTTATTAAAGCAGGAACTGAATTATTTCTTATGACACTTGTAGTGTCATTAGCTAAAGTTATGCTTTGATAAGCACTCATTCTAATGTGTACAGCAAGGGAAATGTTTTGAATTAAAATAGTAGAATATGGAGAACAAACAGCACAGAGAAAAACAAAACAAGTCTTATTAGTACACCAAGAAGATGCATTTAGCAGTTATTTAGAGATGCATGTATTTGTTTAATATGAAAATATGCATATATATATCCCTGTGGTTGAGAAGCTAAGTACATGGCAAACTAAATTGGACTTTTAAGAGAGAAAGCTTCAGCTAATGTCTCATTTTTATGTATCTCCAAGGATGAAAATTTTTGCAGATACTTGAAGACATAGGAAAAGGGGAAAAAAGGACAGCAACTCATTAGGTTTAATAGCAATATCTATAGCTAATTCATATGCAATCTGTGCCATACATCACAAAAAGTATTATTGAAAATGACACTCTTGACTTTTCCAAATACATGTTTTTATCATAAAATACAATTTAATTTTTTATCTCCTAAATCAGCTCATGAAATCAAGCAAGGAAGGCCAAGTATTTTAAAAGCTTCTGAAATCTTAAATGTTATAATTCTATGAAATTTCTAGTTTAGATTACCTCAGAAAGTAATCAAGTAATAGCAAGCTCAAAAAAAATATTCAGCCATAATTCTTTAAGGATTCCAGTTCCAGAAATACATTCCTCAGGACAAAACTTTTCCTGGTAGGGCTCACATGATTGCTTGCTCCTTCACACATGAACATTTAGAACACATGGCAATTACAGCCATGTAAATTAAATATGATTTAATGTGTTTAATAGGAATTTAATGTCCTTCACCAACATGAACTTATTCCATTACTTGTTGATAATACTACAATTTGGAAGCCACTTGTGGAATAGAATATGCAGTTTGGAAACCTCTGGTTTACACTTATCTGCAAAAGTTAGTTCATTTGCTAAAGAAGATTCGCGTCGTAACTAGATGCAAGATCAGGCATCCAAGAGCAATGAAAATGTCACACATTGAAAATGTGGAAATCATCCTTGAATTAGTTCACAGGATGAATCATAGAATGGTTTATTTTGGAAGGGATCTTTAAAAATCATCTAGTTCCAATCCTCATGCTATGGTCAGGGATATTTTTCAGTAGAACAGATTGCTCAAAGCCCCATCCAACCTGACACTGAACAACTAAAGCTGAGGAAAGAATTAGCAATACTATCTATTCAGCTGAAAATGAGTTCCCGGACTGACAGAAATATAAACAGGTGAAACACAAATGGCAATCAGTGCACATCTGAGATGCAAAATTAAAAAAAAAAAAGGAAAATTCAAATGTGGTCACAAAAATTCTAGATGAATGTTTATGGTTTTATTTACATAGATAGTTCAATGAAAAGTTAAGATAGGACGTGATGACTTTTTCATATGTCAATGGAGAACAGATATCTGTTCATAACTCACTCTGTGTTAATTGTGATCAACATACTTTTTTGGATTATGTCTTTCTGATTTTTTAAGTATATGTGTTCCCTTCAATAAAATACAGATACATGTAAATATTTGTTGATTTGTTCTTTTCTACCTGAAACTACCCCAGAACATGAGCATTGCTCAATACCTTTTCAGTAGGGCATGGATGACTGACAATACCCTGATCTAGCTAGAGAATATATTCGTTTTTAGTGCTCCTTTAAAGCACTATAAGTGAGCTAAGGTTTTGATTACTAATTGAAGATCTTCCATGTTTTCCTGAACATACAGATATTTGATGGAGAACCTGACAGTTGGAGGTTTGAACTGTAGGGCAATTTGTGAACTGGCACTTTGGGGTAGGACTAATTCACTCTATTTATTTTTTACTCATTTTTGATGTTGGGTGATTTTTGTCTCCTGCTCTCAAATATCACACATATTGGACTCAAATTGTGTTTCTTGTGCTGAAATGTGATTAGAAAGTCTGATGGCTGATATCTTTTCATATTATTAGAATATTTAAAATATTACTTCTAATAAATTTTCAGCATACAGTAGAATGAAAAATGCTTCCTGTAGTTCTCTACACCAGAAAAGTCCTTTTAACAATTTTCCTTGTCAGTGCCTCAGTTATATACTATTTCTGTTTGTTCTCACTTTCAAGGTTACATTTAGGCAGCACTAAATGTGAGATTCCTCTCATAGGTCTTAAAATGGAAGATGCATTCAAGAATTGTCTCTCTCTTCCCCTGAATCATGGAATAAGTCTGGATAACTAAAAGGAGATTAGACATTTAGGTGAAAGGAATCCCATTATGAGTGACCAATTGAACAGCTCAGCCCTGCATCAAGGAAACTTCTCTGACTTAGTAACACTGCTTTTTTTGATTAGTTGGTTGGGTTTTGGGCGTTTGTTTGATTTTTTTGTTTGTTTTCAGCTTTATGGCTACTCATCCTCCTTTTCTAAAGAAAAAATAATATTAATTGTTGAATTAAATGAAACACAAACAGCAAAATTTTGACTAAACAAATGACAAAAGCTGTAACAACTGTTTTAAACCTTGTGGTAGATGTACTGTACCATTCCCCGTGCAACTCAAACAGTAGCAAAATCATCAGGAAGATACAATATTGTTTAAGTACTATGCCTACATTATCTAAAGCAAGACTATATGGTATTACTGACTATAGCTACCACACTTTTAAACAAAACCAGCTATTATTCTTTGTTTCATGCTATGCCCAGATAAAAAGCACCGCTATTAGCATAGCGGCATTTTAAAATGCACCATGTCATTCATCCAACTATAGAATTAGTTGGAGATAATATTTTTTGTTTCAGGGTATGTTTTGGAGTGTGAGAGTAGGTGCACAAATCCCACAGTGGGAGTTGTGCGCATACCAGCTTCACACTGATTGCAACTCATTAGTATTGCTTCCTTCTTCTGGGCTCTGTCATTGACATTAACTCAGATCCATATTGCTCTACAGCAAAATCCAGTAAGACACTAAAAAGAATACAAGGCAAAAGACACAGTGCACATTACATGCTACAGTGTATTAAAGCTTAATTACTACAAGCATATAATAGGTTGCTCCCAGGAGTTAAATTCTTTACAATAGCACCTAAGTCATGGTTTACAGGATGTGCATGAGGTATTTTACTGGGGCATAGTCCAAACTAGTTTAACAGTGATGGTGAATTCAATACACTTGGAAACAATTAAGTTATTCCTTCTGATTCTAGAAGTGATTGATTATCAGTACAATGAAGCATAACAGAATACTTTATTCTGGGAGCAAGCAAATTCACTTGGTACAACACTTCCCCATATTGCTCATCATGCCAGCTTTAACATGCCTTCACCACAAGATAATATATACTTAAAAGCAAGAAGCAAAGTAGAGGTGCAACAGCTGCAGATCCTTGAAGATGCTAAGTGTTGCAGTAACTTCTCTGCATTTGGATCATATCAATGCCAAACTGACAGGAAGCCACCTCTCTTATCACACATCTACTCAGAAACCATAGGAGAATAAGACTAAAACTGAAATACATATAACACAACATATGCAACAGAACAGACATAGACAGTAAAGTTTAGAGAGAATGATGAAGAAGGAAACTGAAGTGTCTGGACAATGAGAACAGGTCTCCAAAGACCACCACTGACAGACAGAATGCTATTAGCAATTACGAAATAAAGCTGTGAGAGGGAAGAGAGATGAGGAGAGACAAGGAAGAGCATGCCCTATTTACTTCATCCAAACCAGTAGCAGTATGATAGAATGTAGACTAGAGAGGGGCTCAGAGCATGGTATACCAAAAGAAAATGCAAAACATGCCATCTCAAAAAAAAACCAAAACAAAACAACCCAAAGCTGAGAAACAAAATACATTCAGTAACATCTTCGTAAATGAGTTCAATTAATGTCATTAAAATGAATGTGACATATAATACAAACTATCCATGGCAATTTCACTGGAACAGTACAACAGCTTTAATGAGTACTGTATTATGAATAACTGGACTCGAAACAGGACCAGCAATGCAAAGAATCAGTTATTTGGTTGTTATTAATGGAAGATGAGACTGCAAGAGAACACGAACCACTGTATTGTAAGACATGTTTTGAAGGAAGACTCTGGGGAAAGAAGGACATCAATGAAGGTGTGAATATGAAGACAATATGGCAGCACAAGGGCTGGTAAAGACGAAATATACATCGTCACAGTACAGTACAAATGAAAAAAGAGGACAGGAGATGTTAACAGTAAAGTCTGCTTTTCAAATGCAACATTCTGATACACCAATGACTCTTCAAAAGGGGGAAAAAAAGCCTAAAAAACTTATACTGTTTAATTTTATACTTCCTGCAAAGAAGTTAGTGCGTGAGTCACAAGAAACAATGGAGAGACAAAATGCTATTCTCTCTCCTCTTTGAGACTGGGGGCTCATATATAATTATACACACAGATATATATATACACACACACATAGACAGATGAATATATGTATGTATATATGTGTGTGCATATACAGAGAAAGATAGACAAAGATGTTATCTTCCTGTGTTCTTGGCAAGGAATTAGTCCTGAAGTTAGAAGGAGTGAAGGTAGGATTGAGGTTGGAAGGAAAGGTAACGAAGAGGGCATACCGCTTTCGGCTTCTGCAAACGACAAGAAAAAAATTGCAAATCAAACACTTTGATAAGAAATCAACTGACACCAAAGCAAAAGCAAAAAAACCCTTTATTTAAAAGTCTTCAAGGCTTAAAGGTTTTTCTGCTGAGAATGAGAACAAATATATGGATAGACAAGAGAAAATTTTACAAGAGGAGTATAAATGGGTTGCAGGAGGGAAGAATCCATGTTAGGCTTTCCTTCTTGCTTACTCATGTGGAAAAAAATACAGGGGAAAAAGTAAGGCAGAAATGTCTCTAAGGACATTTCTCTAAGATAAGGAGTTTGAATGTCTGCATTTTGAACTGTTATTTTTTGCTATACATTCAACTTAGGGACATTTTCAGGTTCATGCTCTCCATGTTCCCTTTGCATTTTTCTATAAAATAACCAAAACCTAAATGAATTAAGAAAGACAAATTTTAAGCTAAAATATTTGGCTTTTATCAGGGTCACAAAAATTATTTAAGTGTTTCCTCTTCTTAATAATGCATTATAACATTCCCAGATACTAATTAGAGATGAAGGAATGGCTAAGTCATATTGTGACCTGGAACTACTAAAGTGCAGACCTTAGTAACTTGTCAGAAACCCTCTAAATTGAGTTTTGTAAACTCAGGCTTCTTTGATACCTGAGGAGTAGGTTAAACATCATTAAATATATAAAAGGAAAGGTAAAAAAAAAATCTAATCATTTTATTAATTTAATTAATCATTTTATTAATCTTTAAGATATGTTGATGAGGAAGAGTTGCCTAAAAAGACTGTAGATACTTTACCAATTATATGACAACTGATTTGCATTTATCATATCTATGACTATATTACCTATATTTAGGCTTGAATATCTGCTTTTAAGCAACCCTGTAAAATCATAAATTGTTTATAAATAACTACCTAATCTTAACAAAACATGCTATCAAGGTGTGCTTACTGTTTTGTGTAGCTTTATTAGTAACCAGGAAAACAAGAAGAAAAAGCCCATCTGCAAGCAGAAAGCTCAGCTACTGCTAACTTGTACAGCAATATTAGCTTGGATAGAGTTCTGATTATTTATTATTTCTATTGATCTCAATTTCCCTATGGTGGAGTTAACAGAATTTGACTGTAAACCAGAAAGCTTTAGAAAACTAACATTTAAGTGACTGCCTGGGAAAAAAAAGTGCTCAGGTAAATTAGTATTTATATCATTCTACATGTAATAAATATATTAACAAAGTCAAATAGAAGTCTGCATTGAATGGGATGGGACTATTTATCCTTCACACTGAGTTGAAAATTTACAAAGAGTATTAAGAAATTTAGAATGACCTCCCATTACGACTTCTGAATCCACTTTACACTGCTTTAGCTCTGAGTGCAAAGTGATGATGGCAGATGAAACTAATCTTAAAAGGAATCTCTCTGTGTTAAGTAAAAAAACAGATACATAATTTACTGCTATAGATATTTTATTTTGGCTAATAACAAAAACTGAACTGTTGGGAGGAAGAGCTTCTCATCCTTTAAGCACAAAGAATGCTTTAAAAATTTCCTCTGCTCCTGAAAATACTATTCCTAGACCTGTCTCCATTATGGCAGGAAATATTACCTCTTAATAAAAGGGTGCCACCTAGGTGACATTCTAAACGTTTAGTTATATTTAACATTGTTCCTCTGAATTGTAAACTATATAAAAAAACCTCTCAGTAGTTTTACTAAATATGGATGCAAATTACAGTCATAAAATCAGCACATATCTACTGTTGGTCACTCTCATAAAGACTGAAAGTTTAAAAGGATACCCATAATCAGTTCCCATTTCATCTTTATGAAGAACTTTAGATATGAGCAGAATAAAATATTTTCAATGCCAACATCAACAAATATAATTGGAAAATGACAAATATATCTTGTTCAAAAAGAGCTTGCACTTCTAAACCATGTTATTCTAACTTTTTATCTTAATTCCCCATCTTTTCATTTAGTAAGAGTGCAAGGAAATACAAGTATACCTAGGAAGTGAGAAACTTAAGTTTTGTTCCATTTCCTTTCTGGTTAGACTAAAAGGCTCTAGATCAGAAAACCACATATATGTAGTTAACATATTTGGGTTGAAGAGCACAGGAGCAAGTAGAACAGTAAAGATACGCTGCAGGTAGCTCTGTGATTCACCAAACAGTGACTATATAATTATCACTGGTTAATAAAATCAGCAGATATTACTGTGGATCAGAGTTATAAGAAAATGTGAATATCTATCTTATATGTCCTCTTTTTGTTACATACATATTCACAAAATTAAGCTGTTAATATCCCTCTGTTACTGTTTCCTGCAATTTTAGGCTCTTTTTTTCCTACTAAATTAATTAATTGCAAACTGTTACCTGTGTGGCTTTAAGTAAGAAGGAATATATGTTTGTATCACATTGTGTTACTTTTTGTGGGATCCTCTGCATCACCTTGTGATTAAGAACTCAATCCAACTCCCACTGAAGTTAGTGCAAAGAATGATATAGAAGCCAAGAACTATCTGTTATTACTGAAAGAGACTGTAATATTAGCACTTATGTAAGTAAATGACAACTGAAGCAATGACAACCTAAATTTGGGCAATAATTCTTAGGAGAAAAAACAGAAACAATTTTTTTTTAAATACTGCATAAACAAAATCTGATAAAAAGTTCCATTGCTATTACTATTAATTTTTCCTTTTTCTAGAGACAAAAGAAGAGATCATTTGCTTTACATTAGCTAATGTAGAATGAGATCATTCAATGGAAAAGTATTTTTAAGAGTCCATAGGAGCTGAAAACATTTTAAAAAATATCTTTAAAAGAAAAAAGGATTTCTTAATTAGCATAGTGTGAACAAAAAAGCATAGTCTGAACAAAAATAATATCCAATAGCACATACACCACTTCACATTTCACTTTATAACATAGGAAAGAATCGAGCAAAATCAACTATCAGGTATGGAAATACTCTTTTAAACAGTTGTAACATTGCATTTTCCATGCCCAACATAGGTTTTAAACATATTTTTAATAAAGGAAAATTATGACATTTAGGAATAAACATTAAAATAAACTTGCAAAACCTCAGAAATTGTGGCATGAGTTCAAATGACAGAATCGGCTCTCCTGTGAGGAGAAAAAATTGCACTCAAAAGCGTCTTTTGGCCACTAAAAAGTAAATAAAGGCCAATAATAAGATGAACTAATACGTATCATTCCAGGTTTACTGCAGCAGCACAGAATATAACTTCTGAAAGAAGAAAATCAAATTCATCCAGAGTCAGTATTGTAATATTTTTATTAAATGTTCCTGTACATGTTGCAGACAACATTTATAACATTTTTTTTATGCAAAAATGAGTATTGTTTACAGCACTGACAGACTAGTTGATGGAAGTTTGATTCCAATGTCAATCAGATTTTTATGAATTTTTGTACGAAAAAAAAGCAAGAAATGCTGTACTAATAACAATGAATTTTTCTCTTTCTGGTTGAGGAAAGCAGCCAGCCAGTTGGTAATTTCAAGGCTAAATTTGTATTTTGAGAATACACGTAACCATAATGAATTGTGATATGACATCTGTTTTCCACTTTTCCATTTTCAGTAAGTTGGACCTCTGGTTAGAAGTGATACATTATGAACAAAAAATTGTTAGCTTTTCCCTAAGTAAAAATTACCTGCGCTTCTGGAGATGGGACATATATATTACTGTCTCTTCACCTTCTACTAAATGTTCTGACTTGGATTTATTTTAGGGAGGAATAAGGCAGAAATAAGCGCCTTTCAGTGCTATGTGAAATGCTGTAATGTGATGGCATGCTAATTATATTCTGAAAAGTTTCAAAGAGTAACTATGCTCATTCTGGAAAAAAAAAAAAGGCAGGCAAAATTCTTGGCAGTGCATTCCAGAACTTCCAAAGTTGGAGGTATTGGACATACCTGCTTTCGCGTTTTTCCGACTTGTATTCTATGGCTATCATTAAGAGCTTTAGTTTCGCAAACACCAGTCTGCAGGAGAAGAAGAGGCCAAGAGTCAGTCTTTTTTCACAACCAGCATCACATATGTAGAGAAGGCTGTGGGGAATGTATTTTCTTTGAGAACTTACACTAAGATCTTTCCCCATTTTTTCCATTAGGGATACCCAGAATATATGTTAAGATCTTTCTATTTTGAAGATAATTAACACATATGATCCTAAAAATATAAACTGAGAAGTTGATAACAATAGCATAAGCACCAACACATTGTGATACGAAGTCTACTTAAGCAATAATAACAAAGGTTATGATACACAACACAAAATTGCATCTGGCTATAGTTGTGGATGTTTTGAGGTAATTTTTCAAATATTTGTTGATTGTAGTGTGCATTCCGTAGAAAAACATGTATATACTGAAATAAAGTGAGAGCACACTATTAGTAAGTCACTATTTTCCAAATACTGTCCTTGGGGAACAGCATGACTGGAAGCAATTTGTGATCAATATATGGGAATTACATTCTGATACTGTAATGCACATTTTTTTCAGTCATAAAAGTCTACTGAAGTGGCTATTTATTAAAACAACCTAAGGGTGATATTCACAGACTTGCAGAATTGTAAGTTAGCATACCACCATTAGCTTCAAGCTAAGGGACTCTGTGAAAATAAAGAAACTGAGTTTTTGGGTTTTTTAATAACTAGAAACCATTTTTCAATTCTGCCATTGGAATGTATGGAAAGTCAAAGCTACTTGCTTCCTGTTGTACAGATTTGTCACAAATGATTCTTGGGCTGATCTTTCAATTAGATGGCTGCCATTTTCTTGATCATACACTAACTTCTCCAGTGCTCCGTGCTTTTCTACCAACTTCCTTACTTCAGTGTTCTTAATATTTTTGCATATATGTCAATAACATTTATCTTCTTTATGCAAATTAAGCAATATTATTCATATTTTGCATCAATCACATACTTATCTGAAAACAAGGAATTGGCTACTGAACCGATAATATTCAATTTCTTCAATAACAAACAGGAAATATGTCTAATTTAATATATATTAAGAAGAGTGCACACATTTCATATGCTGTTTCCACTGCTAGGTCAAGTGTCAATCCACAGATGGCTAGTCCCATTAGGAAAATTTTTGGGTAGAAAATAGTGAGCCTAGAAGCTGGGTAGGGGGAGACAATTTGGTTAGTTTATCTTCAGTCAGCATCATCCACACCTGGACCAGCAATATCCAAGGGCACAGAATGTTAGGAATTACATTCACATACTGAAAATATATTGGTTGGAATATAGTCATACAGTACACACACATATAGTTAAAAATAGAACTTGCAGACTGATACTAACTTCTATTGCCATCTAATTCTTCACCCAAGCGTTGACACCAAAAGCTTGAAATTCTTCAACAATATTGAGTGCCCCATCCCCACTGTCTCTGCACTCTCTTTATGTTTCTTATCCAAACTGTATGGCAGCCTATTTACCAAAGAATCACATTTCTAGACTGGCAATTAAGACCCATAACCTAAGAAAGCAGAACATCTCGTTTAGTTTCAGACTTTTAAAATGTCACTGACTGCAAGAATTTTAAAAGCTGCACTACAAAAACTGTTCTCAAAGTCTGTATATTTCATGGGTGGCTGAACACACTAAGCCTATCCAATGATTTAATTTCCCCTTCACAGATCAATGCAAAGGACTTTTCCTGTTCTTCGGTTCTTTTGGAAATTGAATAGTCAATTCTTACAGTAATGAAAATACCTAAACTCATTAATAAGCACCAAACTCATTAATAAGCAATACTAATTTTTCATTTTTAATGTGCTTTAATTAACCTGAAATTAATAGTTATAAAGTGGTGAAAAATTTGAGAGAAATCTTTTTGTTTCATTTAAACTAGTAAACACAGTTTGCTGTTTCAGATAACCAAATGCCTGAGACCTCCAAAATTTAGATGTGTTTCCAAATCTCAATAAACACCCTTTATTGATTATTTTATCTCCATTCTTCCAGCACAGTTAAATGAACGACAGCTTTATATCAAATACAGTCTCAGTCACATGTTCCTACAAACTCATATAGAAACTCAACATGTTTGAAAATGGTTTGCAGTGGAGACTGTAGGTAGTGTAAACAGCACAAATTACCATTCATTCTGAATATAATACACATTTCTGTAATATGTTATGAGGTTTTCTATTTCAACATATGCAGGCAGACTTTTGTAGTCTAGAAATATACTTTTCCCCTCAGTAACCTAGTGACAGTTTGGCTAACACAGTGGAAGGATGGATTGTAAGCCCCTAATTTTAGTAGCAAATTGAAGACTGGGCTCTGTCAGAGCTACATCTCAGACAAAGACAGATCTTTAAATGGATATTTGTCTAACAGTTGTTTCTCCCTCATTTTTATGCCATAACCTATGTTTATGCTCCTGTAAAAATTGGAAATGGAGGGAGCAGTTAGAGAAGTAGAAGTAAAATCATCCTCCTTTACATAAGAGATGATATTTTACTACTTCTTCTACTTCCTTCTCTAAGAATGGAGTTTTCAGAACTTTTTCTATGTTAACTAGTTCAACATCAAACTCTTCAGAGTAGGGTCTGTTTCTTATTAAACATTTGAACAGTCCTAGCAAAAGCTGTCCACAGTGGTGGACCTTTTGGCATGGTTGGAGTGAAGGGCAATGCCAACTGAAGAGGAAATACGAGTGTGCTAAAGCGATCTGATTATGTGGCCACAGAATTTGTCATAGAAACCTTTTGCATACAAATCTCTCATTCATAGACCCATTCTAGGACAAACATAAGCATTCTCAGTCTCTAGAAATAAAGCTGTAGAATGGCTTATGCTATGGTTATGTACTATGTGCTTCAAATACTCCTTTCTCATAACAGAACAGACGTATCTTTTCTGACATATTACAAGTGGTTTGCAACCAGTTCCACAGAGCTCTGGGTGTCACACTGGTTATATGACTTAATGACATCTGTTTAAATTAATGAATAGTTTCCTCGGAATGGTACATTAGCCAAGATGGTGATGCTGACAACCACTATTCAAAGAATGGGAATCATTAGAAGAAACAATAGAACAGCACTTGTGAGTAAATAACTCAATTTAAATGGATTGCTGATGAATTTGTTCAACACCGAAAACATTCATGCTTTCATTTACAATCATTTAATTCCAAATCTATTCTGAAAACAGGCATTACAATGTTTCAGATACTTCCATGCATTGATTGCTTTAGTGTTTATTAGATACCATATGAAGTAGCAATATTAGGACTTCAGCAGAGTGAAAAGGTCTCCTGCAAAATACAGACTTCTCTTGAGAGAAGGCAAATCCTTCTGTATATTAATATGTATTTCTACTTACTCACAAACTGCAGGGAAGGACAAACCCACAAAGGCACTAGACAGATATTCTGTATACATTTCATTTGCAACTCCTTCCAGGTAGTATTTCTGCCACGTATCCTCCTCAATCTAAAAGAAACAAGATGCAGAGTTCTGAGTAAAAATCACAGCTTTCTTTAAAATTCACAAACAACTGCTTAGACATGAATAAGATTATAACAAATAAATCAGTAGACTCTCATGACAATTAACATTACTTATTCTTACAGAATTTCCTGAAATGCTGAAAAAAACTAAAACAGAGTCCCTGTAGTCAGAAAATTAGGTGTCCTATGTAAAAATAATACACTTAATTCTTGTCAAGCACATTTAGCAAGGGGTTAAATAAGGTTGTAGAGAGCTTAAGGAAAAAAGTTTTTCAATTTTCTCTTTTTGAAAATCATAGAATCATAGAATGTCAAGGGTTGGAAGTGGCCTTAAAGACTATCTGGTCCTGACCTCCCTGCCATGGGCAGGGATGCCTCCCACTAGACCAGGTTGCTCAAGGCCTTGTCTAATCTGGCCTTGAACTCTGCCAAGACTGGGACATCCACAACCTCCCTGGGCAACCTGTTCCAGTATCTCACCACTCTCACAGTAAAGAATTTCTTCCTAACATCCCTAAATTTCCCCTCTTTCAGTTTTTACCCATTACTCCTTGTCCTCTCTCTCACTACAGCTCCTGTCGAAGAGTCCCTCTCCAGCTTCCCTGTAGGTCCCCTTCAGATACTGGAAGGTTGCTATGAGGTCTCCACACAACCTTCTCTTATCCAAGCTGAACACCTCCAACTTTCTCAGTCTGCCTTTGTAGGGGAGGTGCTACAGTCTTTTTATTAACTTTGTGGCCCTCCTCTGGACTTGCTGCAGAGGTTGCATTATATTGTTATTTGGGTCTCTAACAATGTCTCAATTATTTTCACCTTATTTAGAACTTATCAGCAGTCAAACCTGTTTGTTTAATTTTTTTTTCTTCTCTGCACCTATAACTAAAAAGGAAGTATGAGAAACATACATTGAAACAATTTTTTCAGTGTTCATCAGTGCTTTAGGACAGCTACTGAAAACAACCTCTACTGCTAAATTCAGAGGTCTTTTACTGCCAAAGGTACAAAGGAAAACAAGTTGGAGGTGCTACAGGACTACCATAAAAACTCTCTATATTTGCCTAAGCAGAAGTTTCTAGTGATATTTGAGACACACATGCGGTCCCACATAGCTCCCAGCTGCTGCCCTGGGGTCCATGGATGCCATGTCATATCTATAAAGCTTAGGTCTCAGACACTCTATAAGGTCTTTCAATTAGCATCAGACACCTATACTAAGGTAACTGGTACAAGCCACTGAGCATCCATCATTGGCAATAGCACTATAACTCCAAAGAGCAAGTACAAAGTCAGCTGATATGACTGGATATATGTCGTATGCTGAAGTTGTTCACTGTTGAAATCCCAGTTCTCTATGCTATAATTGGTGCCCTCATAAAAAGTTTGTTTGAGGTTTGACTGTCATTTACAAAGAGACTTTCCTTGAAAAACTATGGAAACCATCACAAACACAGAGCCTGAAATACTTAAGGAGTCCTAAGAGTCACTTCCCTACATATTACATCACATTAAAATAGAGCAAAAATCTCAACCACAATGGGACATTCCTGTGTGTAATTATCTCTTTGGCTTTATTCACTAATTGTGCCACATAAACTGCTAAAAGAGAAATTCATATTTGCAAGAATTATACACAGCAGCAAAAAAATATTTATGACAATACAGTACAGATAAAATTAGAGAGAAATGTGTCAATTACATCAGAGTAGCAAAATAATGTAATATATTCCTTTTGTTACATTTTACATTACCACATTTTCATTACCCAGAGTCTACCTGACTATATAGTAAACAGGAAAGAAGTACAAAGAGAGACTGAGATCAAAGATTTTAATTTTCTCAAATAAGGCAAAATATTGTGTGCAGTTTTGGTCACCAGAATATAGGAAAGATATAAAGATATTAAAGAGCATCCATAAAAGGTCTACAAAGACAGTGAAGGGTCTGGAGGGGAAGCCATAAGAGGAGTGGCTGAGGTCACTTGGTCTGTTCAGCCTGGAGAAGAGGAGACTAAGGAGCGATGTCATCATAGTCTACAGCCTTCCTACAGGCTGAGTACTAATTTGGGATTCACCAATTTTTTCCCCATGTTAAACTAGTCAAATGGCACTCTTTCAAAAAAAAGTTCTAAAGAACAGAAGAATTCGAAACTTTTTAAGAAACTGGTGAAACTTTTTAAGAAACTGGTGAAATATAAGATACAATGATTTTTTTCCTTTTTTTTTGGTTTTTTTTTTTTTTTTTTAGTTCTCTTCTGCTGATAGGCTGCCAAGTAACCAGTTACTTTAGTTCTGGAGATGTAAACAACTGCAAGAAAAACTTGAAACATGAAGACATTCCAAATCATATACTCCCTGACAAGTGGGCTGCAAACAACCAGGAAAAATTTCTTCCATAGACCTTGTGTCACCGTTCAGAGACCATATGGGATGGTAAAAGGGATTTGAATTGTGTTTTTCTCCACCATACACAGAGAAGTCATATCACATTTTTTATAACTCTTTTATTTATGGGAAACTTGCAAATGTTGCTGATCAGCAACTCTATATACAGAAAACAGATAAAGTGCAGGCTTGGTAAAAAAATAAGAGTAATGATAGCAAGGGCATGTTTGTAACTTATGGTCTATTTTGTGGCTTTTTCTTACATTGACACCACCTGGGGTTGAAAAAAAACCCAAATACATTATGTGTTTCCCTTTCTACTTTCTTCTCTTGCTTTCTTTTCTTCAGGCAGATGGTTTTGATTTGGAGGAAGGATCAGACCTATAGTCAAATATTCACCCTCTGTCAAGGACCAAAAAAGGACTGGAAAAAACCAAACTCATTTACAAATCAGTGATCAAGCTTCATAGATACCAGTTAATGTTAATTTAACCTTCATGAAGTGATTAGAGTGTTTAAGATATGTTCTATCAGGATACTATGAATCGTTGATTAATGAATTTAAAGAATAGATGATATTTGGGACACTATAAAATGTTATTATAAGATCATTCTAACACTGGACTAAAGATGATAATTCTATTTTATCTCCATCTGAACCATTATGTTTTCCCTGGGATTTCAAAAAGACAGATAGATACCTGCCTGGTATCTTTTGAAAGGCAGTACCTGCTGGTCTGCCAGAACTGAAATTACTATTAAGAATCATCAATATTCAGTATTCTTTTTTATTTCCTTGAGTCCTGCAGCTAACATAAGTAACTTAATAGAGTAGGGTCCCACAGATAAACATAATCAGTTTCTCCCATAATCCATGTCAATTAGATACTAATTTCAAAATCCTTAAAATGAGGAAAAATATTTTGGGACTCATTATGATCTTGACTAATTTAAGCCTTTGTGATGTTATTTTTAAGTCTATTGCTTCAGTTAATCTCAAGAACTGAATTCCAAAATAAATCTGATTCTTTATAATGTGTGTTTATTTTTCATTAAAATACTTAACCATAATTTAAATTACTGTTGTCCAGTTCATCTCTGGGCCTACTGATACTTATCTACTACTTGTCCATACTTATCTCTACATTAAGAGTAAGTTGCACAAACTTAACTGTTAATGTACAGATGAAATAATCTGTCTCATATGCACTTGCAAAATGGATGTTTCACATGTCAGTTGCCTGACAACAAAGGGGAATAGTTAAATTTTATGTAAAATTTATAGAAACAAAAAAGAGCTGAATTTGAGGTGAGTTCGGTTCAAGATGCTACTAATTAATGTTACCCCAAATGTAAAAATGTAAAACTATGAATGGTATTTATCTAGTTAGTGAAAGACATTTTTTACTTTAGAAACCTTATAAACCCTAGAGGAAATTTTAACAAATACTAACAAATATTTAAGTTACTCCAATCATAACTTGGAAAAAAGGTAAAGAGAGTTTATGTTGCCGTTGGACCTGATACAGAATGTGCCAGACCACCACAACGACTTGTCACTATATCTTCCAAATTCCTCTCTAGTAAGGTAAGTACATAATTATCTTTCTCTGACTACATTACACTGCAATTCTGTCTCCTGGATAGTCATAAAACAAATGACCCACTGATTCAATAGCCTATATGAAGAATAGCTGGAAAATTACACAGTGCATCCCAAGAGAAGAAATGTAATTTTCATCTGTATCTTTTTTTAAGTTACAATACTCCTCTCCTCTGGCTGTACATAGATACAATACTGTTATCAGCAAATATATTTACATAATGTAATCAATTCCTAGTGAGACATGGTGACGGAGATATGAAAAAATGATGTTCATCTTGCAAGCACAACCATTAGTATTGCAGGAGAAAACCCAAAAACCTTAATACACCCAGCCCTACACCCTGGCAGTGTAATTATTGGGAGCTCTGTAGCTCCACATGATCTATCTTGCTCATAGCATTCGTTTTTCAGCATAATGATATAAATAGTTACATGAAAGAGATTGAGTATATCTGAACCTGATAATGCTATATAATCTCTTCTGTCAAGATCTAAGTATCACTATCAAGACAGAGAACAAATGCTAGAGTTGCAGTGTGACCTAGGATCTTTTATTGCATTTTGCATGGGAAAGGATGGTGGGGTGTCTTCATAAATACTAAGGAAGTGACACAATGAAAATTCCTTTATAGCACAATGAAAGCAGATGTAAAGTCTGCTCCCTAGCATTGAATAAGATCAGCTCATCACCACCACAGAAAGAGAATAAAACAGTACAAAGCCTTTGAGAATGCTTCCAGGGCTTCCTTATGTTTAATGTATTTTTCTAACAACATAGATGAGAATAAAAAGAAAGTACACACAAAATCAGAATGGTTTGGGTTGGAAGGGACCTTAAAGACCATCTAGTTCCTACCTTCCTGCCGTGGACAGGGACACTTTTCGCTAGACCCCAGAACCCCATCCAACTGGTCTTGAACACCTCCAGGTATGGGGCAACCCAACTTCTCTGGGCAACCTGTTCCTGTGCCTCAGCCCTCTCACAGTAAAGAATTTCATCCTAATATCTAATCTAATCCTGTGCTCTGTTGGTTTAAAGCCATTACCCCTTGTCCTAACACAATACATCCTTGAAGATTCTTGATTGGTAGTTGAAAAGGTATTGAAAGCAATGTAGTTGAAACATTTCCTCCTGTTCACCTATAATGCCCTTTCAGTTGCACAAATTGCTTGAGTGAATGTCTAGTTTTATTATGTCTTTATATATGGATATCTAAATCTGACATATAGATAAATAATTGGCTGAAAGCAGTTCTTACAGTCCTGTGAAGTTTCTTAGATTTACAGTCTTATAATTGAATTTCCTCAAGTATTATAAGTTATCAACTACCTCTTTACTCAATTCCATTGTCTGCTTAAATCAAAGGTAACAAATATCCTTAGTACTATGAAAACTACAATCTCAGTCAATTATTTTCACAGCTTTCTGTATCCAATAATGTTTTTTAAAATTGGTATAAAAGGAGTATGTTTTATAAAACAGCAACTATGCTAATTAAGATTAATTACAAATGAAAGATTTATGCATTTTTCATTGTTCATAATAATGTAGAATCTTGCAGTGAGTCAAGGCAATGAGAGTATTCTTGAAATATTATGACATCTAATTCTTTTTTAGATGCTGGCCTTTTTTAGATGGGTTTGAACTGAAAGGCACACTGGCTCTACTTCCAATACTTTCAAATTTAAAAACCAGGACAGTATTTCTATCCAGCCATGATGCAAAAGATAGATTGGTGTCAACCTGTTCAAATGACTGACTGAAAATGCACTCCATGGTAGACTTCAGCCCAAGGCAAATATACTGCGATCACAAGGACTGATACTATTACTAAATAGCAAACAGTTTTAAACCACAACAGGTGTTAATTCCTAGACTCAATGATTAAAAACATTACATTCAGGAAGATCTCTTAGAGAATGAATGTCTCTGGTAACAGGCTACATTAATATGTAATCTCAATCCTGTGAGGAGGATCATGTAATCAGTTTATTCTGCAGTCTCCTGAAGAACCTCACAACAAATCAGGAAGCTGCATTTCCTCCTCAACCCTCCTTTAAAGTTCTCCTACATTTAAAGGAATTCACTGTGCATACTCCAGTTTCACACAGTAAGACAGACCAAGGTTGCCTAAGTGGCCAATAATAAACAGCAAACAAGTTGATGTGTTCCATCAGTTTAGGTAAGCACCCAACTGATGTAAATCTGTGTGGCTTTATTATGTCTCTCTTTCAGCCTCGACTAGAAAAGAATGTAAAGTAGGCATTGCACTGGGTGTGCAAAAGCTGCCAGAAGAGCCCACAGAGCATTCCTGCTCTCAAAATAGCTTAGTGGATAACAGAGGCAGCTCCAGATAATTTTTCAGATCTGAAATGAAGTGTACTGACTGTCTTATCAATAGAGCAAAGACAAAACTAATTTGGTTGTGGACTTGTGTTACACTCAAGTGCCACATTCCACATTTTATTAATTTACACAACAATACTAACTCATATTGGCTTGCATGATTTTATAGAGGGACAAAATTTGACCACCTCTTCCTATTATTCCATTTACCTGCTTTTTGCAATGTTTCTCATATGGGTAGACTTCTGGTACACATTTGCTAGACCAAACAATATGGAAATTGCAGTACAGTATAGTATTTCCATCTTTTTCAGAGACTTTTCAAGTTAATAAATAGTCTCTATCCCTTTATTAATACAACAAAAACAGTCTCTGCTATAAGAAAACTGTACTATTGAAATATAGTTTACAGGTGTAAAGTTGAGGGGATTTTGTCCTTAACATATAATTTCTTAACATATAATTTGTTGTGCAATCTATCTGTCTTTAAGTGTTTACAGAACCTTAATCTTTTTGAGCTGATTTCCTTTTTGTTCAGTTTGGTGCCAAAAAGAACATAAAAGATTCCATATGAGATTACACAGCTAAAACCAAAAGGAAAATATTAGGAACAAATATAATATTTTGAGGTTTCTTAGTTTGTTTTACTTTTAATACTGAGCAGACTGTTTACACAAATCATTTTGCTGTAAAGTAACACATAATGAGTTAAATGTGTGCAGTGTCACCATCAATCACATTCGTGTTTGACCGACCAAACATTTATTGCACATTAAATCACTTTCTAATCATGTTATGAAGGAGGCGGAACAAACACACATTTCAAGCTTTCATTAAAAAATACAGAAGTTTCAGTACATTTTCCTGGCAATCTCCTGACTTGTGGGAGACTCCACTAATAGTATTTGCCCAAGGAATTTATGAAGGCCTGACAATACTTTCAGTGTTCTTAATGAAAAAGGGTGAAAGTTCTTTTAGGGAATGGGAATATTTCTCTTCAATATAGTCCTCTTTAGCAATTCTAATCAATGTAGCTTCTCTGCTACAATACACTTTTGATTCACAGCCACCACTCAGTAAGGTTTCTTTTTCAAGTTTTCAGAGTGAGACAGACATGAAAAAGAACATCCTTTCAGGTAAATAAACAAACTTTTTGTAAACACCAATAAGGTTGGATTCTCATAAATATGTCTCAGTTCTTATACATTATTTGGCTTCTGATTTTCAATTAGTCAGAGATCTTTGGAAGTGATGATGTGCATTTCACATGCCTAGAAAATTCATTCTTGGTTAAGTGGCAGACATATTTTTAACCAGTGCTAACAGAGTATTGCCATCTCAATGCACTATCTTATGGCATTTTTTTTCTCCCACTGCCATCTGAAGATGACAGTTGAAGTCATACAAGTTAAGGTATGTCTTGCACACTGTTCTGTTTATAACTGTATATAATCACAAACACGAGCAAAACTGACATGGATAGCTTCCTCCCAATCTATTTGATTGCTATTTTTATGCTTATCCCGTGTATACAGAAATATAATGAGTAGTGCATTGCAAACCTGAGCCTACATCTTAAAACTGTTCATCAGTGAGACAGTCTAATCTATTACTGTACTGGAATTATTAGAAGAATATCTTATAAAATAAAAAAACATTGAATTTAAGGTGGATAAGATAATGGCAGAAGTGGTTAGATATATTTTCTGGAAACGTGCTACCTTTATATTTCCAGTTTTTGACTTGTTTAAATGTTTTAGCTGCAAATCCAGGCCATAAATGTGTGTGTCTCTAGTACAGTTCCCCCATAGTCAAACATTTGTACACTTTATCATTTTGTGAATCTCTCATTTTCTCATTGCAAATTTAAAATCACTATTAAAATAACTTTAATGAAGACCGAGGAGAAGTAAATACATGAATGATGTTGTGGGAAGTTCAGGCTTTGGTTCTAACACATTTTCTTTATTTACTCACAGTCAGAGGTTCTCTAGCCCCTTAATGTAAAAGACCAAAATGACCAGTCCCTTTTTCTGGGTACTTTGTTGCTATATTGGACTTATATAAATAATATTTTTGCTTTAGCAGCAGTGACTTTTCTCATACAAACATGTGGTTTGTCCAAAATCAAGCAAAATCACCAAACACCAGAAATATCTCCCTAGTAATAGATGCTGCTATGGAAAATCATTTAAAGGCCAGACACTTGCTGAATAAAAATAAAAACACAACTTGACAGAAGCTGGTTTATTGCCTAATTTGCAGTAGAAAACTTTTGTATGGGAAGTGTGTGCTGTTTTTTTCAGTATTACAAAATCTGTTAATGTCTTCCTATCTGCTTCACATTTGAGTCATGTTCTCTACTCAACTCTCTGACAACCTGAATTGCAGACTAATGCATTCTAATGAGACAAGACATTACCTTTATGAATGACCTCATAGAGAAGAGGTTGGCTAACATTGTTGAAAGGCCTGGTGCCAGGCAGCTCTGGGCTATGAAACCCAGCTTGAGCTCAGCAAGACAGATTGCATCATCCCCTTCTTTCCAGTTCCAGCTTGGGATATTTAGCAGATGGGCCTGGAAAACAAACAAACAAAATATCCCTCAGGTGAGTAACCAGAAATACTTCCTGAAATATAGTATGGTATTGAAGAAAATAGCAGTGAATGATTTTCTCTGTGAAATGGCTTAACGTTTTCTGAGTAGGCAGAAGAAGTTCAAGTACTTCAGAGTTTAATTCTATGCTAAGAAGTGTTCCACTCTTACTTATTAAAGACAAAATCTTGCATTTCTCAAGACGTGCTGGCTTTGACACACTGTCAGGCCCATCCTCACACCTGAACAAAGAGAATACTGTAAAGTTTTCCTTCCCTTCTGTATATTCACTTCACAGTACTCTAAGCTACAGTCTGACTGATAAGGAACATACATAATATACAGGGAGCTAATACAACTTAGATTAGAACTCATGTGAAGCTGCAACCTTTATTGGACATTGTCATTTAAAAAGGCATAGAACATCTTCTGTCTTTTCTATTTAATTTCTTCTACCCTGAAGGATAGCACTTGACAGTGAAAATCCGAATTTTTTTCTAAGACTGATTCTTATAAGGAGAAAAAAATAGATGATCAAGACACACATCCAGTATTGACACTGGTCAGTTATATAGGTATAAATATTGTTCAGTTATTGGCTGATTTTCCCTTACATGTACCTTCTACATTTGTATAGACATAAGGAAACACAGAGGCCTACATCCTTGTTTCCCTTCCTAAATTAATACCACAGTTCAGCACTTTGATAAAAGCTATTCTTGAAGACACATTCACTGGAATAACAAACAAAAATTGCAGTATATAAAAGATCTCTCCCTCTGAACCTGTTTAAAGCAGAGAAACACCTTGCTTTTATTCTATAAAAAGACAGGCTTCTTCCATAACATACAGGAAGAGGACATAACAAGCAACAGTAATTGCTCTTTATAGCTAAAGGTTACAGGTGTAAGGAGTTGTTAGCAAACCTCCTTACTATGAGATTTATTGTGTATTTCATTGAATGAAGGTCTATCCAGTCAAGCTTCTTCTCAAACACTGGGCAGTGGTTGATGCTTTTAGAAATAATAAAAGAGCAGGTCACATATGAGCAGTCTGTTCTCTGATATATTCTTCCTTACCCTGATAATCAGCAGTTTATGGACTTCCTCATCTCAGGATTGAATAAATTGACTTCACTGTGTTTAAAGTCCACAAATTTGCATAAAAAAAATTTCCAAATTATTTTCCAAAGTGAATTTATAATTTTGAACCCCACAGTATTTATAGCAGCAAATTCCACAACTGAGCTATATTTTATATGAATGTATATTATAGTAATGCATATGAATGTAATACTATTTATTTTGTGCCTGCTGTTAGGCAATTTCAGGTCTACATTGTCATGCCATAATCAAAAAATCACAATAATCTCCCATAAGACAATAATCACTACTTGGATTTTTGTTTTGTTTTGTTTGGGGTTTTTTTAATTATGAACAAAGAATCTATTTCATATTAATTGCTTAGAGGCCACCAATCCATCCTGGGTAATTCTAGCATAATAAACTATGCAAAACTTACAGAAGTTAGGCGGTTAAAAGCTAATCTGGAAACAATAGCAACTATGGACAGTGCATCTTTGAGAATTAGATCCTAGGCAACTAATAAATGTCAGGATTTTGATAAAGTCTCTTGCATATATAAATAAAACTGAATTGCTTTGTAACTAAATTACATGACAAGGCTTATTAGGACGTTTTACTTCAGAAAGAAAAAGGCTTACTATTAGTGGAACTAGTTATGTAGGAGTGAATGCAATGTAGCAAAAAAACGAAGAGAAACATTGTTGGTCATCATGTTACCTTATTGTGATACTGCAACATCTGAGTGATAATTCTTATCTTCGGATGATAATTCTTTATTGAAATAACTCTAAAAAGAAAAGGAAAAACAAATAAAGTACCTTTTAACTGACAGGATATTTAGATAATGCATCCAAATAACTCTACTTCACTGTGTTGCAAGTCCCACAATTAAAATTGTACCCTCATATCCATCTGGCTGTAAAGCATATCGATTGAAGTCAGAACTATGCAATATTTACACCTAGTCAAATTGAGATAATAACTAGTGGCTAGAGAAAAACAAACATCAGGAAATATTCAGTTGAATGGTTTGTTCTCACGAAGTCTGCAGAAAAAGATACTTGTTTTAGCAAATCTGTTCAGATATTCCATTTATTCTCCTAGGAAAATAATACACTTGGAACTATTATGTCATCTTCAGTGATTATCTTCATGTCTTTGCATCAACATAATTGATCAAGTTTTCCAATGATAAATGTCTGAAAAAATCCCTTTCTTCCTTCCCCATCACATATTATTTATTTATAGCTGCTAGACATTCATCATATCAAAATACTTCAAATAATGATTTTACACACGCAAATTCATCTTAATTTTTATGGACTATTCTAAAGCTTAATATCAAAATTGATATCTGAACAATGAATTTATAAAATATGAGGCTACTTTTGTAATCTGCAGCTTCTCTGCATTCTTAAATACTTCATGAGCGTAAGATATACTGAACTGTGTATAGATTTTAAGTGGATGGAAAACAATTGTTTGAGAAATGCTTGGACTGATAATGTGCTACAAAAAAGCATTGAACAAAATTAAAGAGATGAACAGGCCAAAAAAATCAGTTTTGTATTTACAAACTAAAGGTAGAGAAAGAAGATAAAACAATTAAAAAAAAAAATCTGCCTTATTATGGTACTATCAGTCTCATAAGACTGAATGCCATAAGTGGTTACATTGGTGTTTTGTAGAAAGTATCTTGAAAACTGCTAGTCTGGCTTGTGCTTTGAAGCATATCAAAGCTAGAAAGGGAAACATAAAAAAATAGCATTACTTTAACAAGTCTTTCTTCTAATTTTCCCTTTATCGCTTGTTGTAATTTAAATAAACATTCATTTTTTGAATTAAATTGTGAGAAAACACAAGAGAATTCCACTCTCAAATTACACTTTTGCATTTTATTACATTAAATGTATTAAATCTTTTAAGAATTCACTAATCTCCAACTGGAATATTTTAATGTATTTATGCAATCGATGTCAAAATAAAGTTTCTCACAATGTAACTCACACTAAGCTTGTAAAATGAAATTAGGCATATTTAAGCCCTGCATCTTCCTCAAACAGCCACATCTCTTGCATGCAGTGAAAGTTTTCCAGAGGAGCAATTTTATAACTGATTTTTTATTTCTACCCTTCCTTCAATACACAGCATGCAATAATCTGCCAAGCCAAACAAATTTGTTCATAACACTGGCCAGTCAAATGATAGAGAACTTCCAATGAATCAATCTCATTAAAACAAGAGCTGGATGAACAAAACATAAAACATGGAATGGCATAGGTTTGTTGTAACTCTGCTGATTGGTCATCTACTGACTGACTGTTTCATCTCCTTCCTTCAGAGACTTCAAGGAGGAAAGCAGGAGGAGATTAGTGGTCCCTACTGTGGTAAATGGCTTGTCAATCAAAGGAAGTAATGATTGGTCTTCAGCGTAAAAAAAGCAGGATGGAGATAGGAGACCACTCAACTGTATACTTTGCTATCCCCTGAGCAGCACATTGCTTGTAGGAGCAGATATACCAGGGGGAAACGAGGGGTGAAGTGATGAAGTGTCCTTCTGTCCCATCATTAACAGCAGCCCATGTAGTACATGAACTCTCATAACATATTGTTGCAACAACATAACTGCTTTCCCCTTCCTCTCTTCATTCAGCTATGAATACTCAATCCTAAATCCTGCAAAATTACTAAGAGTACCAAAGCTTGTGCTCCAAGTGTCTCTTCTGACACATAATAAAGCAGCTAAATCAAACAGTTTAGATAGGAGTTGAGGATATTCTCACCTCTGAACTTTTGTGACACTTTTAATTTGTCCAAAAAAAAAAATCCTACAGTGTTCTTTAAGTGCAATAGATCAGAAAATTATCTAATCAGAGTTAAGAACCAAAAAGCTATTAAAAACTCCAGAGTTTACCTCATAATATTGGAGGCATCTTCAGCATCTGGGTCAGCGCAGTATTTATTGGCAAGGATTAGGCACGCATCTGCTGACTCTATCTGAGACACCAAAGAAAAAGAAAACATATATAGCAACGTCTCTTTCCAGCTCTTCTTTCATCATAAAGTATCAGGGAATCCAGCACTGCCATCGTGAGTGTGAGTGTCAGTTCTTAATACTGCTAATCAAAAATGTTACTAGGCTAATGTGAGTTAATGTGAGTGATTATAACTGCTCTCATACACACAGAGCAATTTCTTGATTATGATGATCAGAGCAGGTTAGTAGTTCAATTGTCAACTCCTACTTTGTATCAGCTGAGCCATGAAGGTGTTATCATTAATCTTTTGTAACCAGATATTGGAATGTACATCCTTCAATCCATACAAAGTTCCTGTTACATCAGGACAGTGCTCCCACAAGTCCTGCAGCTTTCTTTGGGAATTTAAGTACCTCCTATCATAGACAGGAAGAGGAAGCTGAACTGATGATTTAGAATCTGAGTACCAGATTTAGAAAGTAAGAGGAAGACAACTGATCTGTTCACAGGATCTCTAGATTCAGAAAAACCTTAGCTTTATAGAACTCAAAGCATATGAAAAAAGTATTTTTCAGTGTATATAATCAACTATCAACACAAATTAGAGTGGAATACAGAACACAAAATAAGAACACACAATTTTATGGTCATAATTAGAACATGTTCTGATGAACTGAAATTGTGTACATTGGGCTACAAAAAGTTAAGCAATTTCTGCAGCCAAAATGGACAAAAGACATGATTAGAACTCCAGAAAGGATTAACAACACAGTGCTAAAATATTCTTGGCTTAAGTAGCCAGTTTACATTCCACTAGGGGTTAAAAAAAAAAAGAAATAAAAAAGTTACCTATGTATCTGACAACTTGGTTTTTCCCTAAATTTTTTTTAAGCTTCATGCTTTGCTTTAAGAGTAAAAAAAAATTTACCATTTAGAATTCTAGACAATAAAACTATCTAATTTTAGTTTAATTATCAAAAAATCTTAAAATGTATTTTTCTTTCAGTATTCTAGACAATATAAAAAGGTTCAGGAGGTGAAAAAATATTTTTAATTGTTCTGATAAGTTAAGACAATAGTATTTTAAGCCGTTACTGTAAGACAATGTTCTGCTATATCAAACTTTAATGTAAAATAGACTCTTGAAACCTCAATGAAACATTCATAAAGAGTTTAATGGAATGGCAGACAATGTGTCTTAAGTCACTGTTGCTGTAGCTTTGAAGATCTAAAGATATAGGGGAAAAAAGGTTTACAAGGATAGACATTATAATTTATTAGTCAAGCTAATAGAGATGGGAAACCAATCTTTTGGGGTTACATGAAGAAGGGCATTACTGGTTTTTTTCAAAATAATGCAATGAGTACTTTAAAAAAGTCAATTAGCAGGAGAACAGAACAACCGAGCTGTTACCTTCACTCTCGCCAGGTCATGGGGATTAAGGACTGAACCCTGATAAAATTCCACCTGAGTGAAGTGTCGTTTAAAAAGAGCTTCCAGCTCAAGGTTAGGGGAGATACTGCATTGGGAAGAGGAAGAAAACACAAGCAAAAATGAGAAATCAGCTTCCATAACTGCCCCATTCCCTTCATTTACAAACCCACCCATTTATTACTTCTGCTGATGCTTTTTCTGTGATGTGGCAACAGTGTGCAATACTTAAAAGATAAACACTCTATTGCTCTCAGTTCCTTATTTCTGACCACAGCGCCTCTGGCTCACTTCATTGTGCTGCTCTCCACGTTCATCCTTTGGCAGTTTCTCACAAATATGAATGCAGAAGTATGGGTGCAAACATTTGAAAACATCCGCTCACAGCTTTCTGCCCAGAATTTATCTAGTAACACAATCATCCTCTGCATGTCCCCACCAGTCTCAAAATGGCAGACTGCATGAATAAAAGAGCTCAATGCAAAAATCGCTAAAAACCAGAAAAAGAAACGCTCTAGGAATCCTGCGGCTTGTGTGAGCTGCAAATAAAAGAGACGGAATGACGCTGTGACCTTCTGTCTCATTTCATTTTGCCAGAAACAAAAAAAAAATTAAGTGGATCACAGTCAATTACATAATGTGGCAACAACCTTGTAAATATCTGTTCTGATGCCACTCATTAAAACAGAAGGGATTTAATCGCTTCACAGTAAGTGCACGAGACCTTTGCCATGCCAAATGCTAAATTTAATAGGAAAACAAAACAGATACATGCAAGTATTTGTCGGTGAAGGTACAGAAGAAAGCAGGCACAAACAAGTAGCAAGGTGCTAAACTACTTTCACGTGAATGTGCAGTTTCCTGATTCCTATCACCACGTACTTTCACTGTGGAAATCAAGACCTTCAATTTCCCCTCACAGTCACTTCTTGTTATTACAGAGAGAGGGGATGATGTAGTTACGTGAGGATATTATCTCTAGTTCAATTTGAAATTGTGCAAGTGCTGCTGACTCTTGGTTTTCAGCTTCCATTCTTAAATCATCACATATGATTCCTTAACTTTTCAATCATTTTCTTTGACAAAAAGTGCCGAACGTGCTCTGAATGCAAAAATATTACTCATTCATAGCTAGCAACACTTCTAAACAGATGCCATTCCAGAGCAGAAAAGACCTTTTCATAGTTTCTCCTATCACATGGCTTTTTCTAGCAACTTCTCCCCTAAGCATTCCTATTTGATATTGTATTACATATAATGTAGAGCCCACAAGAAGCAACAACCACCTTCAGACATCTTTCCAAATTCCACATCAGAAAAAGGCAAGAGACTATGTGTATGTAGGTATGTATATATGGGTAAAAGAGCAGTACTGATTATCACTGTGATAAGAATTTAATTTCTATCTTCAACATGTCTGTAATGTATCCCATTTATATTAAAATTAAATCCACACCTACATTTTTCTTTTTATAAATACTTTGCAATATGAAATAAACATTTTTCCTAGACAAATCCAAGGTGAAAATGTACTAGCATAAGTTCATATGACATACAGTGTTTTTCTTTAGTTTTACTAATGTTAGTAATTTAGGTAGTTTCTTCATAAACATTTACCACTAAAAACAATTCTCCCATATATTTATTAGCATTCTAATATTTTTTATTTCATAACTCCACTCTCTCTTGAACGATGCGTTTAGCTATCTACCTCACAGATGACACAACTGGGTCTGAAGTCTATCTGCCTGAAATACGTATACTTAGCAATGTGTTATCAAAAATGCATAAAACAACTACTTTTCAAAACATATTGTTAATAACAGTAATTGAAAACATTAATTTTATGGTTATTTGGAGCTTGAAAGATTCTCTGTCTTCTCATAAGATCAGGCTTTATTTAAAGAGTTTTAGTAATTGACGATAAGACTAATCTTGAAAGATTACTTACTTATGCAGAAAGACGATTTCTACGTTGACATCATCCCTATCCTTGTGCAGGAAGTCCTTCAGGAAGTTGGACACGCTTTCAAGTGTTATGTGACCACAGACAACTATGTGCCTGTTACAGAAAAATCAGAGTTAATCTTGCAAAGAAGGTAATGCAAGCAAGCAAGAAAGCAGAAACGGAAAAGATCCTTCTTGATGTTTCTCTAGATTGTATTCTGTGAAGTCGGAGAAGGAAAATATCACTTCCAAAAGGTATTTTGCAATTGCAAATATATGTACACTCTCACCTGCAAAGCCATTTGGACATGTTGTATTACACATTTAACAATAAGTGGTATCAGTCATATATAAGTTTATACACCATGTTAACCAGTCCTTTTCAAAGGCATATTTCTTTATTTTACATATCTCTCTCCACACTTTTACCTCCTCTAATGAGATTAATTGGTCAATTTTTTGGTTTATGACAGCAAATCTTGATATTTTTCTACAGTTGAAGTAGATATTTATGCCAATGAAGGCAGTGCAAAGATTGTCAATTATAGGTCGTAAGCAGAATAAAAGAAATATTTTTCCTACCATAACTCCTAGAAGGAAAGTACTTTATAATAAGAAGTCATTACTTATTTCACCATTGCAACAGATTGCTTAGAAAATCAAAGTTTGCATAGATTGCGATGTCACAAAGGTTTCTACTGCTCCACATTTGCATTACTAGATGTAGCTGACCATGGAAGATGGAAGCACAACATATGCCTACATACACATTCTTGAATTCTACATCTTAAATTCTGAAAGGTTGAAGGAAAGGCCTAGGAAATTGCACCCTTCCTGACTTTAAGGGATCTTTGCTCCCTTATTATTGTAAAAACAAAGCCTAAAAATTTATGATTAGAATATCCCAAAATGTCTCACAATTTCCTTGATGGAAAAAAATCAAATCCATCTTCTATTACTGTCATGGCTTTAAGACAGATAGTGATTTTTGTTATGCCTATTGCTAACACTTCCAATAACCGCATTGCTCACAGAAGTCAGGAAGAGGGAAAAAGTGGCATAGATACCATTTTTGAAGTAACAGAAAATCATTACTATGCACAAACACTACAAACATACAATTCTGCACTTGTTTGGCACTTGAACTACTAAATGTGAAGCAAAGTAATTCCAAGGATAAGAAGTAGACCACCCAAGTCTCAGCTACTTCATAATTCTTCTGTGGAAAACTCAGTAAGACAGAAACCTCATCATCAGGAAACAATAAATAATATGTAGCAGCAATGATTACCTACGTAATGGACTATAATAGGAGTCTTTCCTTGCTTCATAATTTGATCCTTGATGAAATGTGTGTGAAAAGTACACCAAAGCCATTGGAAAAGGGATAACTATGCAGAACAAATCAATAGTAATAATATGCACCAGACAGTGAAAACTATCACTGTCAGGTACTGTTACTTTTGCAGTGTCTCTGACAGTGACTAGAAAAGCAAAACACAATAAACTGTTATACCAGTCCAGCAGACCTTGTGATATTGTTTGCTATCATCACTTTTCTGGCATAGCATAGCACAGTGTTAAACATTTATATAGAAATATGACAACGTTCCTTTTGCATGAGCTCCTAATGACAGCACCAGGACTCAAATGCAATTTTAGAAATAGCAGTAGTCTAAAACTTCAATGGTTTCATTCTATTTAATAGGTAAGAAATCAATGTCTGTAGGAGACTGATCATGCTGGTTTGTATTTAACACAGGACTCAACACTATGAATGTTTATTGCTAAACTAGCTAATAGTGTTTGCTTTGCTTTTTTTTTTTAACAGAAGTTTTAGGTGCAGCAAGTGCACAAAGCACAAAGTCCTTGGACTGCAAACACTTAAAAACACAAAAACCCCTGAGTTAAAGCCTTCCTGTTTTATAAGGTGGTAAACACAGTATCAGAAAACAAGATGTAAAATATATCAGGTCATCCTTTCTTCTTGGTGCAAGAAGTCCTTAAGAGGTTTCCTCTGGGAGCTTTGCAAATTGGCAGAGTTTCCAGTAGGCTCTGCACTGCCTCTATTAGCCCTACCAGAAGCACTCTTTCTCTGTTTCCCTAATGGTCAGTTGCCTGAATTGCCAGAGATGGGCATTCATGTGTGTTATTGCACTAAGGTATAAGTAATATATCAGTGTAAATGGAAAACCTCAGGAAACTTCAGATTCTGAAGAAATGTTTAAAACCTTAGTAGTTTACTAGATCTAAATTCTGAACAGACTGTGTTTGATACACTACATTACAGTAACCTACTGGGAAGCTCTTGTTGTCTAGGGGTATTCAACACTTTTCGTAAGTGTAAACCCATCTAGTACCAAAAACCTCAATGGCCCAAGAAAATGATAAATGGCAGCTAAAAATATTAATTTGTATTCCTTATACTGTCTGTGCACATTTTCCAAGATGACAGATTTTAAACTATGGGTATTGTTTTCTTCAGATGTTTCCAGCTATTACTAATTAAGAAACTGAACTTTCCATTTGCATAGTTGATGCATTGTTTTTGGTAGCAGAAATAATTTCCCATGGTAAGGAACTCCTTTGTACAGATCCTGTGCTGTTGGCTTTAGCAAAATCTCTTCCTGAGTGCTCTTCTGATACGCTGCATTCCTGTGCAGAAAATTTATTTCCTTCTTGGCTGATTTCACTTAATATTGGTTCTTTTCTGTCATTGTTTAGAATCCACATCTTTAAAGTATGGCTGTGCAACCCAAAATATTGCATTGCAGAAGAAATCATCAGAGTATCAAAAGACTACAAGATAATTCACGTTATAAAACACCTCCAGAGGTTATTTCCTACAAAAAACTCCTGCTAAAAGCAGATGCAATTGGTACAATCCTGTTATGACTCTCACTGAGTAGAGAGTCATAGCAATCTGCTACAGTGAAAATAAAACATTTGGCTGCCAAAAAGTCTTGGATTTGGGCATCGGGGCTAATTCCTTTTGAAGTGTTGGAAGGCATCTGCACTATGGTTTCATTTTTTACTCTGATTTAGAACTGGGCATGATCTATTCTTCTCTTCTTTGCTTTTCTTATAATGTGCAGGGCAGTGTTCTGAACAGTGACTGCAACTAAACCTCCTGGCTTTCAAACAGTATTTTCTGATGAGATATTTGCATTAATTTTTGGTTGAAAACCCCCACCAATAAAACCTTTCTTTAACATAAATTATATTTTTTGCTTAGAAGAAGACGATATTGAAAACAGATTTCCTACTTGCCCACAGAGAGTTTTTAGGTACATTATTCAAGAAAACTTGGAGAGCTTATATTGTTCCAATCTGTCCTGTATATGATTTAAAGATTTATAACTTCCTCTGTTTGTTTCAATAACTATTCCCTTCCCTTTTTTCTTTTTTTTTTACCACCCATTTTTTTCCATGCACTGAGACTTTAAGTAAAGCCAACATACTGGATAACTTTTTCGTTGTGAAAAAGAGTTGGTCAGTAGAAAAACATTGTATGAAAAATGTTGGGTCAAACGAAATGTCTAACATCTGCATTAAGCTTTTTCTTATTAAAAGGCTCAAAAGTAATACTTTATTGTGCTTTCAATTTTTTTTTATTCTTTAAAAACAAAATTTAGATATTTCCTTACCATACCGAAAAACATGATTTAGGAATGTAGACATTTTTATTACTGATATGTATTTAGGATGACTAAGGTTTCTGTTAAGTAATAGTTGTCATTGGTATCATGTATTAGAGGTGAAACTGGTTTAATATACCAATGGGAGTCCATATTACCAGACTGTGATGCTGCAATAGAAATCTTTTACAAAGAATCAAAAGCTTATCAGGAATGATATTCTATCAGCAAAGATGGACTAATCCACTCTCTCCCATATATATTTATCATCCTCAAAATTAATTTGAGAAATATGAAAAAATATGAAAATATTTCAAATAAGAAAAATTAACATAGTTGTATACAATTTTGTACACAGTTGTACACAACTGTGATTCTACACTGTTGAAATTCCCTACAGTACCTAATTTTTTTTCCTACTCAAGTATTGACATAGATACATTTGCTAAAAATATTCTAGCTTCTTATAAAGTAAACAAAAAATGGTGATATAAGATCCTAAGCTACCACAGATACAAACCATTTCAGTAAGAAAAAAATGAAATAAGCAAAAGCTAAAACATCTAGATTTCTGACATGAGATAATTGAGAGCATACACTTAATCCATGTAAATAGCACTGTAAATGAAAACAGATCCACTGTGAATGGGATTCTTTACAAATGATCTTTGCATGCTTCTTCCTTCAGAGGATACAATACAAAAGGCAAATCTTTTGCCTGTTTATTTTGAAAGAAATTATATCCATTTTATTGGAACAAGTATAAAGAACTTGAAAAAATTCGCTCCAACTAGTCTGTCACAATAAATTAAGTATAATAAATACAAAATTCTGTTCAGTTGAATACTTGGTGCTCACTTGTCAAGTAACTAGAAGTGTGGTGCATATTGATCTAGATGTCTCTCTAAAATTATATTTATATCAAATACATATGTTCAGATGTCTTCCTGGTCTTTGTGCTTAGCATTCTGATCATTCCTTCATCTATTGACCATCTAAATTCCTTGTGTATATACCAGTAGCAGACTGCTGCAGTTGAAGTAAACAGGTTCTTGTAGAGTCTAACAGGCTTTGCTCAAAAAGGGATGAGTCTCAGTCTCATCTTCTTATTAAAAAAAAATAAAATTAATAAATGTTAGCAGAGACTGTGTATATGGTCTGGTTGTTTATCTATTAGTAGTATGCATTCTTAAACATAACAGTTTACAATGTTTCCAGCCACTTGTGCTTTTCATGGTTTATCTAACATTACTCAAGATTCTGTTAATTCAGTTCAAAACTTTATGCATGTGCTATGTTTTTTCTTTTATTTCAATATAAACTCCCCTCTCAGATTAACATTGTTAGAGTAATAAATGCTGTGCAGCCACAATTTAAAGTTTTCTCTTTTTTTTCACAGAAGACTTGAACCCAAGGATGATGGTCCTCTAAGGATCAATTATTTAGTCAATGTGTATAGTTAGCCAGAGTAATACGT